ACCTTCACTTGCTAACCAAGGGAAGCAATGTGGAAGCTAGCTGTCTATACAGGGCCTGGGGATGGGGAAGGGAAAAGGAGAAAAGCAATAAAAATACAGGAAAATACTAAAACACCAGCCTTGTGCCAAAATCTGTTTAGAGTTGCAAAGTTATGCTACCCACAAGGTGGTGGAATCCCCAGACATGAAATTAACATAAAATCTCATCCAAAAGCACTGAAGTGCCAAAGGCTCCAGCAGGAGTAAACTTGAAACTGGTTAACTGTTCTGTGGGGCTCACAGGTCTTTCCGCCTATGTGTGTGCAGCATGTGCCTGAAAATCATAGCACAATTAAAAAGTACACACATAGACTTCCAGCCAAGATGGAGGCACAAGTAGACACACTGTGCCTCCTCGCACAACCAAAAGGACAACAACAAATTTAAAAACAAAAAACAATCAGAACTGACAGAAAATTGAACTGTACGAAAATTCCACAACCAAGGAGTTAAAGAAGAAACATTCATCCAGACCGGTAGGAGGGGTGGAGGCAGGCAGTGGGGCAGAGAGGACTAGTGGCAAGGCAGCAGCTGGGGGACTGGGGCAGGCAAGGTAGCAGCTGGCGGACCCAGAGAGGTGGCAGCTGGTGGACAGGGCAGGGTGGTATCCTATTAGCATGCAGATAAACCAGGAAAAACAACTGGGAAGAGAGATAGACTGCACAACCAAGAGTTCCAGCATGCAGAAATAAAGCCTCAAAGCCTCTGCCTAAAAACACCTGTGGGGGTTGAGGCAACAGTGGGAGAAATTCCCAGCTTCACAGGAGAGTTCATTGAAGAGTCCCACAGGGTCCTAAAATGTACACAAACCCACCCACCCAGGAATCAGCACCAAAAGGACCCAATTTGATTGTGGATAGCAGAGGAAGTGACTGAAAACCAGCAGAGAGCAGAGCAAGCAGCCCTGTTCCCTCTCAGATCTCTCCCCCACATACAGTGTCACAACACAGCGATGTCCGTAGCCCCACCCTGGTGAACACCTAAGGTTTCACCCCTTACTACATAATGGGCCTGCCAGACCAAAAAAATAGCCCAAATGTAAGAACAGATCAAAGCACTAGAAAAAATACAACTAGTGACAAAGAGATAGCCAACCTATCAGATGCATAGTTCAAAACACTGGTAATCAGGATGCTCATAGAATTGGTTGAATTTGTCACAAATTAGAGGAAAAAATGAAGGCTATGAAAAGTGAAATAAAGGAAAATATACAGGGAACCAACAGTGAAGGGAAGGAAACCGGATTCAAATCAACGGTTTGAAGCAGAAGGAAGAAATAAATATTCAACCAGAACACAATGAATAAACAAGAATTCAAAAAAATGAGGAGATGCTTAGGACCCCCAGGAAAACTTTAAAAGTTCTAAAATCCAAATCATAGGGGTGCCAGAAGGAGAATAGGAAGAGCAAGAAATTAAAAACTTATTTGAAAACATAATGAAGGAGAAGTTCTACAATCTGGCAAAGGAAATAGACTTCCAAGAAGTCCAGGAAGTTCAAAGTCCCAAAGAAGTTGGACCCAAGGAGGAACACACCAAGGCATATCATAATTGTATTAGCCAAGATTAAAGATAAGGAGAGAATCTTAAAACCAGCAAGAGGAAAGAAGACAGTTACCTACAAAGGAGTGCCCATAAGACTGTCAGCTGATTTCTCAAAGGAAACCTTGCAAGCAAGAAGGGGCTGGAAAGAAGTATTCCAAGTCATGAAAGGCAAGGACCAATACCCAAGATTACTCTATCCAGCAAGGTATCACTTAGAATGGAAGGGCAGATAAAGTGCTTCCCAGATAAGGTCAAGTTAAAGGAGTTCATCATCACCAAGCCTTTATTATATGAAATGTTAAAGGGACTTATCTAAGAAAAAGAAGATCAAAAATATGAACAGTAAAATGACAAGAAACTCACAGTTATTAACAACAGAACCTAAAACAAAAACAAACTAAGCAAATAACTAGAATAGGAACAGAACCATGGAAATGGAGATCACAGGGAGGGTTATCAGCGGGGAAGGGGAGAGGGGATAGATTATGAAATAAGTTACTTTAAAATTATGAAGGACATAAAAAGAGGAAATGGAAACAGGTTGAAAAATAAGAGAAGTATATAAAAAAAGAACTGGCAGAATTTGAATTAAAAAGAAATAACCAAACACATTCTCAAATGAAATATACAGTAACTAAAAATACACAAGTTAAAGAGTACATTAAATGCAGATTAAATAGCAGGTTAAACATGGATGAAAGGTTTTAATTAACTGAAAGAGGTTTGACAAAAAGAACTCTGAATGCAACAGAGGCATACAGAAGGGAAACAATAAGGCAAATAGCCTAGCAGCATTCATATAAGCCCGCTGGAACAGCATTCATCAGAGAAGGCACATAGTAACAGCATCATTAAGTGTATATGCCTCCTTCCAACCATGACACTCTAGGCAGTGCATAGCACTCTGGCAGGGTGAGATGTCATATTCAGAATGGGATCCCAGTGCTTGGGTTGTAAGGCTTTTAAGCTGCATGGTTAGGAAAGCTCTGGCCCCTCTGCCTGTGTGATCAGAGGCAGGCATACAATCACAATGTGAAGTGTAAAATGTTTCACATGTTTTAGAACCCTACTGTTATCCCTAACCTGCTAGCTTGATACTCATGGTTAGGTTAACTGCCCTGTCTGGCATGAATTAGAAGCTAGGTTCTAAGCATTCATGGTATGACTGTGAGATGGGAAAATATGGTAGAGAATTTGCCACATTGGTGGGTATGAACTGAAAGTCAAAAGACCCATCCATGGCATAATTAAGGGTTGGGGTCCAAACTTTGGGATCATCCAGGATTGTCTGCTCTACTGGGCCATAGCCAGTTTGGGCAGAGCTTTGCAAGAGGTCCAGTCCTTTTCTGAGAAGACAACTCACAGGGGCTCAGTCCTGGATAAGTTAATTTATCCCTCTAACACATAAGAAACTATTATATGAGACTATCCAACAAACTCTATAAAAGACTTCCAAGTTCTTCTTGGCTGAAACCTAGATTATGCAGGCAGAGAATAAAGAGAAGCACTACCCAAAGAGAAAATGATTGAGATTCCTCAAAACTGATTAAAAATAAGAATCTTCCAAATGAAGATGTACAATATACTGCATCCCAAGCCAGCTAAATAAACACAAGTCTGTATCTCAAGATTTAATTGTAGAATTGCAGAACATTACACAAAAAAATAAATCTGAAGAGCAAGACAGACAACCAAGAAAGGAGTCAGAGTGAGGTGAAGAGCACATTTCTGTGGTAACTAGTTTGCAGAGATGCACCCAGCAATCTTCCCCTTCCCTGTAAGTACATGTTGCTTCTTATATGGAGAGTTGCAGCTTCCTGTGGCTGTGCTTAGAATGCTCTGACCAACAGAATGCAGCAAAAGTGGCACCTGAGACTTCGGATGCCTTCAGAGGACTGGTAAATTAAACTTCTTCCTTCTTGCGACTCTGGCTGTGGGTCACCATCCTTCAAATCTCATAAAATCCTTCAAAATCTCAATCACCATGTTAGGAGAAGCTGAATCCACATACAGCAGCCACATACATGAGAACTGGAAGGGCAACAATTAACAGGCCCAGGTATGATTCCACCCATTTCAAGTATCAACTAACAGCAATGTGAGTAGTCATCTTCAATGTTCTATTTAATTTGAGAGCCAATGTAATTACAGCCCCAGGCAGCAGCAAAAGGACAGACCACTGATACAAGGTAACTTACAGAATCACAAGAAACAAAAAATGGCTCATTTTTAATCCACTAAATTTAAATTTATAATTAAAACATTTTTCAGTTGCAATAACAGGTTCCAGAGATAATGGGAAATATCTCTAAAATGCTAAGGAAAAAATAATGTTCAACCTAGAATTCTAAAACAAACTACATATTTTTCTAGAGTAAGATCAAAATGTATTTTTAGACAGGCAAATAGTAAAAGTTCACCAATTTATCTCTCACAGAGAGAAACACTACAGAACACATTGGGATAAAAGAAATAATTTTAAGTAATAAAATTTATAAATATGTTGTAAGTTTAAGTACTGACATGTTAAAAAGATACGGCTACAATATTAAATAATATCTCATCTGGTTAACTAATTTGCCTATTTTGTTTTAAATTCATACTTAATACAACAGTAACATAGAGAAAATGTCCTAGAGAAGAGCCACTATATATACAAGCATCTCCTAAACCTTACACTCACTATTTATCAGTTCTTCCTCCATCCTTCCCTCATATGTGATCCTCCCATGCTCTTACACCTGAGAAGATACCAACCCCAACCATTAAGGGATAGAAAAAAGCCACTTGTAAGAGGAAAGCAAAGAGGGCAACCACTCAAGAGAACTCTCTCCTGGCATTTACCCAGTGCAGCATTTAATGCCTGCTACTTTATCTTCATCCACTTTATCAGAATCAAAAATTATGTCATGGACGTGCAATGTCAATAACAATTTTTAAAATTAAAAACCAAGTTATGCCTTCTGGTCAGAAGCAAGCAACTCCCATACCCATATGAACTACTAATTCTCTCCCCCACCTCCTTCATAACATACAAATTTTCAATCACCTACTTAAAGTTTTCAGTAGAGAACCAAATTTACAAATTGTTTTTAAAGATTTTATTTTATTTATTTTTAGAGAGGGGGAAGAGAGGGAGAGACACATCATGTGCGAGACATACATCAAGCGGTTGCCTCTTGCATGCCCCCAACTGGGGACCCAGCCTGCAACCCCGGTGTGTGCCCCTGACTGGAAATTGAACCAATGACCCTTTGGTTCACAGGCCAGAACTGAATCCACTGAGCCACACCATCCAGGGCAGAACCAAATTGAAAGACAAGAAAAGTTCAGAGCTTCTATTTTCAATTAGTATAGAACTTAGTTATACTAGAAAGTGATTAACCATTTTAAAGAAGGCTATTAAGCATTACTTACTTTAACAGCAAATTTCTTTGATGCCATGCTTAATGATTCCAAAGTAATTACAGACCTTTAATGGAAAAAAGAAAAAAAGAAAGTTAAAATCTCTTTGTATTTGAACACTATATGGGAGAAAAAGGTTGGCTGAACAGTCAAATATCAATAGGTATTTGGAAGATGAATGTTCATTTATAACTAGTCTTAACAAAAATACTATACTGAATTAGTAATTTAAAACTGCCCATAAAGAAAAGCACAGGCCCAGATGTATTCAACGAAATGTTTAAAGAAGAATTAATACCAATCCTTCACAAACACTTTTTTTATCCTCACACAAGGATTTTTCTTTTCATTGCTCTCACATAGAGAGGGAAAGAGGATGGGAGCAAAGGAGGGAGGGAGGAAAAGAGGGAGAGATAGACATCGGTGGGAGAGAGAAACATCAATTAGGTGCCTTCCCATATGCACCCAGACTGGGGCTCAAACCCGGAACCTGGGTATGTGCACTGGCTGGGAATAAAACCTATGACCCTTCAGTCTACAGGACAACACTACAAGCAACTGAGCCACACCAGCCAGGACCACAAACTCTTAAATAAACAGAAGCATAAGAACTTTTCAAGTCCAAGTGGAGTAAGCAAGCTGAGTGGTTATGTGGTCACATCTTATAGATCAGTAGCACTTGCAGCATGGCTGACCAACTGCAGAATTCAAAGCTTTTTCTATTTGACAAGGATGGCGATAGAACTGTAACAACACAGGAATTGGGAATTGCAATGAGATCGCTTGGGCAGAATCCTACAGAAGCAGTTACAGGACACAATGAATAAAGTTGACTTTCTAATATTTCTGACAATGATAGCAAAAAAAAATGAAAGACACAGAGGGTGAAGAAGAAATCAGAGAAGCATTCTATGTGCTTGTTAATAAGGATGGCAATAGCAATATCAGTGCAGCAGAGCTTTACCACGGAATGACACACCTTGGAGAGAAGTTAGTAGATGAAGATGATGATGAAGTGATCAGGGAAACACACTGATGGTGATAGTCAAGGAAACTATAAAGAGTTGGTAGAAATGGTAGAGCTAGAAGAGCTGACAGCAAATTGAGTGTGTTAAATTTCTGGTACAAAATTGTTTATTTGCCTTTCCCTTGTTTATAACTTATCCATAAAAGATTTCTCACTACTGTTAAAAAAATATGCAAGAATAGTAATTAGGACTTCATGCCTCCATGTTTTCTTTCCTTATCTTACTGTCACTGTTCTGAAACATTTCAGAAAAACTGATCAAGTAAATGTTGCTTGTCATTTACTCTAGATATACCTAAGCCCGTCTGCACATCTAAATTCAGATGGAGTTGGTCAAATGAGAAAACACCTGGGTTGTGCCCTTTTTTTAAGTAGTTTTCTTTAGGAACTGTCAGCACGTTGTTGCTGAAGTGTGGGGTTGTAAATCTGTGTGACCTACGGACAGTCAACAATATGTACTTAAAAGTTGCACTACTGCAGAATGGGTGTATTATCCTGACACTCAAACACTATTTTTTTGGACTGCTGGCCCTGTGCCAGAAACATTTTCCTTCATTGTTACTTGCTCTTTAAATTTTGTTTAGCCACAAAGAAAATCTGCTTATGGCACAATTTGCATCAAATCTATCCCAAGTTGCATATTTGTTTTCCAATAAAAAAAACTTTACCCAATTTTGCACCCCCAAAAAGAAAAACTTCTCAAGTCATTCTTAGAAGACACTATTACCCCAATGCCACTACCAAATAGAGACATCCCAAGAAAATTAGGTATACCAATATCCTTTATGGAATAAAGACACAAAAATCCCCAACAAAATACTACAAATCAAATTTAACAACATATTAAAAGTATTACACACTATAACCAAGTTGGATTTATCCTTCAAATATAAAGTTTGTTTAACATTTGAAAATTAATCAATACACTATACTAATAACTTAAAAAAAACACATGATCATCTCGAATTCAAAAATATTAACAAAATCCAGTTTTGATTTAAAAAATCCAATTCACTAGGAATAAACATCCTTCACCTGATAAACAACCTATATAAAAAATCCATAGCTGAAATCATACTTGATGGTGAAAAACTGAATGCTTTCCCCACTAAGATGAGTAAAAGACAGAGATGTCTGCTGTTGCCACTTCTACTCAACAGTGTTAGAGGTTCTAGCCATGGCATTAGGCAAAAAAGGAAGGAAGGGAGGGAAGGAGAGAGGAAGGAAGGCAGGAAGGCAGAAATAAACAAATGAATAAACAAATAAAAGACATCCAGACAGGGAAAGAAGACATAAAACTATATCTATTAACAAATGACATGCTCTTGTATGTAGAAAATTCTGAAGAATAAAAAACAAATTACTGAAATAAACAAGTTCAGCAAGATTGTAAGGTATAAATTATTATTAAAACATCAACTAGCCCTCAGTGGATTGAGCACCAGCCTGCGAACCAAGGGGCCGTAGGTTGGACTCCCAGTCACGGCACATGCCTGGGTTGTGGAACAGGCTCCTGGTTGGGGGCATGTGAGAAGCAACCGCACATGGCTGTTTCTCTCCCTCACTTTCTTCCTCCCTTCCCTCTTCTCTAAAAATAAATAAAATCTTTACAAAAACTCAACTATATTTTTATATACTACAATGAATAATCCTAAAATGAAATTAAGAAAACAATTCTTTTTACATAAAAGAATACTTACAAAAATATTTTTAAAAATAAGAACAAGATCTGTACACCAAAGCCATCAAATATTACTGAAATTAAAGACTTAATAGACAGGAATCCCATGTTCAAAGATTGGAAGGCTAAATATTGTTAAGACAGCAATACTCCCCAGATGGATCTAAAGATACAACACAATCTCTACCAAAATCCCAGCTGACTTCTTTATTAAAACTGACAAACTTACCTAAAATTCACGTGAAAATGCAAGGAATCTGGAGTATTCCCAACAATCTGGAAAAGAAGAACAAAGTTGGATGCTTCATACTTTCCCATTTGAAAACTTATTACAAGGCTACAGCAATCAAGACAGTTTAGTATCAGCATAAGAAAAGCACATAAATCAATAGAATAAAATTGAGAGTCCTGAAATAGACCCTTATCATTATAGTCAATTGATTTTTAACAAATGATACCAGGACAACTGGATATCTACATGCAAAAGAATAAAGCTGGACCTCTATATCACGCTATATACAAAAATTAACTGAAAATGGATGAAAGACCTAAATTCAAGGGCTAACACTATAAAACTCTTAGAAGAAAATATTTATGTAAATTTTTGTAACTTTGCATTAGGCAATAATTTCTTAAATATAATACCAAAGGCACAGTGACAGAAGAAAAAAATGGTTAAGGCAGATTTCATCAAAATTTAAAACTTCTGTAGTTCAAAGGATATTACCAACAAAGTGAAAAGACAACTCACAGAATGAGAGAAAATATCTATTAAATCCTATATGTGATAATGGATTCATATCCAGAATATACAAGGAACTCTTACCATTCAGCAATAAAAAGATAAATCACCCAATTTAAAAATGGACACAGGATTTGAATAGACATTTCTCCAAAGAAGATACACAAATGGCTAGTAAGCTAAAGATAAGATGCTCAATATCATTAGTCATCAAGAAAACAAATCAAACCACAATTACCACTTAACATGATCATGATGGCTAAAATCAAAAAGACAACAATAACAAGTATTGGTAAACATAAATGAGAACTCTCATATATAGCTCATAGGAACATATTATGAAGTGTTGCAGCCTCTTTGAAAAAAGTTTGGCAGTTCTTTAAAAAGTTAAACATAGAGTTGCCATATGATCTAGCATTTCCATTCTTAGGTATGTACCAAAGAAAATAAAAACATATATACATACATGGATATATGTATATATATAAAAAATTTATACAGGAATGTTCACTGCAGTATTATTCAAATAGCCAAAACATAGAAATAACCCAACTGTCCATCAACTGATGAATGGATAAACTACATGTGGTTACGTACCCACAGTGGAATACTATTCGGCAATAAAAAAGAATCAAGTACTTACACTCCCTTTTACTGTGCACAGCCAGGCAACTGCTCTCTCCCACACTTGCAGAAGCCTGGAGAATTATTTTCTGGAGAAGGTAAGACACAAGGATCTCTTGTCTAGAAAACAACAGGCAAAGTATAAGGTGTGTTTGGGGGGTTGCGGGGGGGGGGGGGGTGGGTATCTTACTGTAAAAAGATAAACAAGGGAATATTTATAAACTGACTGATACCTTCTCTAGCCCCTGTGCCCCTTATGATGATTGATTTTGTGTGTCAACTTGTCTGGGCTAAGGAATGCCCAAAAAACTAGTAAAACATTTCTGGTGTGTCTGTGAGGGTGTTTTGGGGGGACATTAGCATTTGAACTGGTAAATGTGTAAAGCAGATGGTCCTTCCCAATGTGGGTGGGCACCACTGAATTCACTGACAGCCCATCAGATCAAAATGGTGGAAGAAGGGTGAACTGTTGATCTCTTTGAGTTGGGACACCCGTCTTCATTCTGCCCTCACATTAGCACTCCTGGGTTTCGGGCTTTTGGACTTGGACTGAATTATACACTGGCTTTCCTGGCTCTTCCAGACAGCTAATCATGAGACTTCTTGGCCTCCATTATCACATGAGCCAACTCCCATTTTATATATATATACACACACACACACACACACACACACACACACGTATATGGATATGCATATGGATATGTGTATGTGTGCATTTATTCTACTGGGTCTGTTTCTCGGCAGAACACTGACTAATACACCTTCTCTACCCTGCCTAGCCTCTCCAAATGGGAGACTAAAACCTTCCCACTCAGGGAACTGGACTAACCTAAAAGGCAGGGTTTAAGTACTGACGTCAGGTATTCCCCAAAGAAAAGAGCCTAGACAGACGGCTCTGAAGTGAAGCCCACACCCATAAGCTCCACATCTGTGTGCAGAACTAACTTTTCCATCTTTTTAATGTCCACTGTCAAACACAAGTAAACAATCAGGAATAACCTGCCATCTAAGGAAAGAATCTTTTATGAAAGAAGCAAAACAAAGAGAAAGAAAAAAAAAAACACTATTTGGCTGAAACCAAGATTATGCAAGAAAAACAAAACTTTTTTAAAAAAAGAAACTAACATTACTATCAGGGAGACAGGAGATATTGCACACATAAAGCAATAAATAACTTTTAAAAAAGGAACTTTTGGAAAACAACAAATTAAAACTATGATAGCTGAACTTAAAAAAACTTAATAGAAGAGCTAGAAGATCAGGTTTAATAAGTCATTCAGAAACTTCAGCAAAAATAAGAGAGACTAAATTAAAAATTGAAGAACCAGCATAAGAGGACCAACACATGAAAATTAGGATGGAATCTGACCCATACTGGGACATATATCACAGTAAAATTTCAGGTACTGGTGACAAAAAGTATCTTTAAAAGCTGTGGGTGGGGGTATGAGGGATAGGGAGAGAGGGTGGTAAGAGAATATTTGGCCACAAATTGCTTACAGCACCTCTGGAGACAAATATCCGCAAATTTCTGAAGAAAATTGTTTCCAACCTCCAACTGCACTTAAAAATGAAGCAGGGGTATTTTTAGACATGCAAGGTCTTAAACAATTTAAGACTCAAGCACCCTTTCTCAGGAAGCATAAGATGTACTTCGCCAAAATGAGGAAATTAACCAAGAAAGAGGAAGATACAGGAAACAGGAAGGCTGAAACAGGCTAAAGACAGAGAACATCTCAGGATCACATGAACACAGATCCCTGCATGAGACCATACCTGGTGGGCTCAACCAGGAGACAACCATCAGTGCAGGTTAGAGCAGGGTACAAGGTTCCAAGAGATGTATCTTCAAAAGTATCTGCATGCATACAGATGAATTTTAGACAACTGGTGAGAAATATGAAATTCAATTAGGAGAGTTTCATGGAAAACTAAGCAACTGAATAATAACAAGGCAATTACTGATTCCAGGATAAACAAAAATTGTGCAGAAAATAAAAAATAAAGAGTTCTTCATACACAGTTCAGTTACAACCAGCATTTAGAATGATGATCACACTGAATCCTGAGCTAAAGAATATTATGTTTAAAACAGTATCATGAAGATGGGGAGCAAGTAAAGGGAGCAAAACCTCACTTTAATGTTAATGGAATGTTTCAGAAGCAAGGCCTAAAGCTAATAAAAAAAAACAATAACCACCACAACAGTAGTAATAGAGCAGAAATACAGTATGTAATTTAGTGATAAAACAAATTCTTAAGTGTGAAACTCTCCTCCTACCTGAAGAAAGTTGAAGAGAGCTGATACAAAGAAAGAAATGGGGTGGGAAGAATGACACAATTTATTTGCAAGCCTTGTGCATGTAACTGTCTGCCTGTTGAAATTGTGTGCAAATACTTTTGGAGCAGTACTGTCCAATAGAAATACAATGCAAGCCACAGGTGTAATTTTAAGTTTTCTAGTAGCTGCATTTGATAAAAAGATAAAGAGAAAGAAGGGAAATTAATTTTAACACTTTAATCCAATAAATCTAACATTATCCTAGCATGTAATCAATATAAAAATAGTTACACTTTTGGTGTTTCAGCTAAGTCTTTGAAATTAGGTGTGCATTGTATATTTCCAGGACATCTCAACTTGGACTAGACACAGGTCACATGTTCAACAGACACTAGTGGTTTGTGGGTACCATAATGTTTTAGAGAACTTGGTTTTATTACAAGAAAAGCACTTATTTCTGTGTCCCAGATTACTTATGCTACATACTTATAGACTAGGGATAGTAATATCGAATTTGAAATTACTGAAAGGACTAAGTAAAATGACATATGAAGACCCCCAGTATAATCACTTATAAACACTAGGCCCTTGACAAATGTTAACAATTACTATTACCTACTCAATGATTTTTTGAAAATCTGGTAACATTTTATTCTAATCTAATTCTTTAAATGGAGAAAAATATCTTTATCCAAGCCCTAAATCATTTAAATTCTTCATTTCTATTTTCTGAATAATGTAATGCATATGGATTTAGAAAATGTTGTACTGATGTTCACCTAAGCAAACCCATTTAGACACAGGTGTTACTCACAAAACTAAATTCCTGGAAAATCAGCAACATGTATTTGAAAACAATTTATGAAGGATGTCCTGAAAACTTTAGATAGATCCTTAAAATTATACTATTTGAGCCTGGTAAACATAAAATCAGTTCCCATAAATATTTTAAATTGGGCTTAAATAACTTCTGCTAAGAATTTAGGGAGTCCCCTACTACAGGGGAGTACTTTGAGGATACTCAAATGGTTCAGCTAAACAGAGAAAAAGAAGGGAGCGTTTTGTCAGCAAGTGCCCAATGAAAGCTGAAGCACGTGTGATATGTTTCAAATTATATACTGGTTTTCCTATATGTACTCTTTTCCTGAAGGACACGTGGACAACAATGAAGGCTGTGGCAACGCTTTCAGATCTTATCTGCTAGTAGATAGATCACAAGCCATATTGCAGTGCAAGTTACATTTTCGACTTACAACAAGGTTTTAGTAGACTCTTTTTTAAAATACTTTTTTTTTTACTTTTAATTTTTATTGGTGAAGAGCAGCTGCATTTACTTTTTAAGAACTGGATTCTTTAAAAAGTATCACCAAAGTCCAAATTTAAAAATGGAATCTGTAGGAATCCAGAACTAATCATATATAAAATAATGTGGTTTGCAAATATAAAATAGGCTGATGAGAAAAAGGAACTGTATAATACATTTTGCATATGTTTAATTCATTTTTAAATGACATGTGGCATTCTGCCTCTCAATGTATATATTTTTTTCATTTGTTTCTACAATGTCTGGAGCCTCAAAAAATCACATTTTTAGGACCAAAAGAAGCCTTACAACCATCTGCTCCTAGTTCTGCCATCTGTTCCCCTAGTGAGAATTTGGGGGACCAGGCCAGGGTCTCACATCTGAGGACCAAGGAGGAGAGAAGAGTCTTGTCAGCTCACTGAGGGCAAATGAGCACCACCTGTTACCTGCAGCACTGCCAAGGTCAATTGTTAACTGGGCCGTCAGAGAGCTGTGCACTTCCTCCCTAAGTCCCCTGCCAAAGCACAAGTCCCAACACAGAGTATGACTTCAAGTAAAACCATGTTAGTAGTGTTTCTCTCCTGCTAACCAAAGAGACAGAGTTGTGGGGGCAGGGGGATCTATAGCTAAGGAAAATGTGGTTTGAATTAATTTAATTTACCACAGTGGTATGACATGGCACACTTCTTCATAAACAAAAAATAAAGTCTACCAAGATAAAGCCTATAACATACCTGGACAGGCAGTTGCATAGACTTTGAGCCTGCATATTTGCTGAAGTCATTTTAGGTAAAGAAGGCACATTTCCTTTGTTTCACTATAGCATTAGGTACACACAGGTGGTGGAAATGAACTACGTGGTGAACTGAAATCTGAAATGAAAGGAACCAATTTGCTAAGTCCCAAATAAGGTAAAATCACACTAACCTATCGTGGAAAGAGTGGGTTCTCGACAGTAATGAGCCCTTGGAGCAGTCTTGAACACTACAGGGTGTTCCAGAAATGTCTGTTGGATGAAGAAATACTCCAGATAATAGGAGATGAGTCATTTATGCACTCCATCATTTATCTTTGCTACTTTTAGGAAAATTTTCCAAAAATACATTAACTACTGATTTTCATAAATATGCCATATGTTGAATATTTCTTTGATATTCCAGATGAAAATGATCATCCATCATCACAGTGGGCAACATACATCTTAACAACGCTCTGAACTTCTGTTTCATACACAGATCTACTCCATTTCGGGGTCTGTGAGGTTGCCGTCAGTCTCTCTCCTGGGGTGCCCTTTCCCAGTTCTTCAACTTAATCATACAGGCCTAGAAACCTAAGGGACCAAGGTGTGTCAGTTTAATGGGTTGTTTCCCAAGCCTCTTTTACATAGATTTGTATGAGCTTCAGCATGAAGGGATTGGGCACTCTGACTTAGAAAATAAAACCATTGTTTGCTTTACTTCAGGATTAGAATTTCTTTAACAATGAAATCACTGGGTCCTAGTACCATTAAAATCATGTTGTAAGGTTGACCTTTAAGATCTTCTCCATTTCTATACCTCTCTGACCCAAAATCCAACAGCAGTTTAGGAAACAAATAATGCTAGTATACAAATTCTTCCAGAAAAGAGAGTAAGAGGAAAAACCCTCTCCCAACTCATTTTTGAAGCCCTGTTAGCAGAACCAGACAAGGGCAGTATAAAAAAAGAAAATCACAGCCAATTTTTTACATGAACACAGAGACAAGAATGCTAAACAAAGAGAAGTAATCTGAATTCAGCAACATACAAAAAAAAATACCAGAAACAAGTGAGCATTATCTGAAGAGTGCAAAGTTGGTTTAACAATAGAAAAATCATATTAAAAGATTGAATTAGAAAAAAAGCACATGATCACTTTAATAGAGGTAGATAAAAATAAAAATAAATTAGAAATGTGAGAATAGAAAGATATTTCTTAATCTAAATAAAGCAGTAACCAAAACTGGAGCAAATGTGCCTGATGGTGAAACTTAAAACCAATTTCTTTGAAACAGGTAGAAAACGTAGACATTACAATATCATCCCACACATGTAAAGTATTTAGGAATTAGTTTAGCAAGACTAATGTGCAAGATATGTGCAAGAAGTCCTCAAGTTGATCTTCAAACTTAACTTAATTCTGACCACAACCTTGAATGGGAAATCTAAGGAAGAGCAAAAAGACTTAGCAAAACTACTACAATGATAGTAAATAAAATAATATACTGGCAAAGGGGTAAACAAACAGGCCAAAGAGACAGATTACATAGACTACAAACGAACCCATGCATTTGTGGAAATGGATGACAGAAGCAGCACTGCAGATCAGTAGAAAACGAAGAGATTATTTATTCAATAAGCTGTAGTCCAACAAGTGCTTATCCACTTGGAAAAAAATAAAATTGGATCACTATTTTACACAACACAAAAAATCAATTACAGATGGGCTAAATAGAAACTCAAAGGTAGAAAACTAGAATCTTTGCAAGGCTTGGCCCTGTCCTCATGGCCATTCTAGCTTGCACTTTGTGTCCTGGACCCCAGAGGAGCCTTGCTCCAGCAACAGGGTGCACACCCTGGTCCTCCGCACAGGTGGTGCCCCCACCACTCCGGCACCTGGAGCATCTTCCTCCACCTCCTTCAACGATTCCTCCTTTTCAACCAACACCCCTCTACCCTGGCCCCACCTGTAATGTGTCAGCTAAGAACGTCCTAAACTGTAGAGAACTTTTGTAAGAATTTGAGTCAAAAACAATGTTTCTGAGAATGAAAAAAAAAAGAAAACTAGAATCTTTGCAAAAATATTTTCATGAATTCAGAGTAAGGAAGAAGTTTAGCTTTTTTTTTTTTTGAAGGTTTTATTTATCCATTTCTAGACAGAAGAGAAGGGAGGAAGAAAGGGACAGAAACATTAATGTGTGGTTGCCTCTTGAGTATCCCCACTGGGGACCTGGCCTGCAACCCAGACATGTGCCCTGACTGGGAATGGTACTGGCAACCCTTCAGTTCGCAGTCTGGTGCTCAATTCACTGAGCCATACCAGCCAGGGCAGGAAGAAGTTTTTTAACTAGATTAAAAAAAAAAAAAACAACTTCAAACCACAAAGAGAAAGAATGGTAGATCCAGCTATATGAAAATTAAAACTTCTCTACAGACAGGAAGGAAATATTTGCAGTCCAAATATCCAACAAAGGATATACAAACTAGATCATATAAAGAACTCTCAAAACTCAGCAATCCAGTCAGAAAATGGGCAAAACAATGAACAGATATCCCACCAAAGAGG